ATTAATTAAATATTTTCATGTACACTACTTTATCATGAAATTATACTATTTTTTTCATAAAAGAACTAAAAAAAATTAAATATTAGAATATTTATATGCAATATATTTATATTTAATTGAATTCAAATGTTCTTTATTATATTTTTTGATGAATTAAATTTTAATTAATTATAATCAATTAACTAATAAACTGTATTGTTTAATGTCATTCTTTTAAGGATTTTTTAAAAACATTTTTTAATTTCATTAGAGTGATATAGTTCGTGTTTTTCTCTCATTCCATTTTATATATGTATGGATAGATGAACGAGTAGAGATGTAGGGATAAACAACTAAGAGTCCTTTATTTCAAAAGAAACTTGGGTTCTTTTGGTTACTTTCGAGTCTGAAAGACATAAAATTTTAATATTTAATATATAATAATTCATAGTTATATCCTCTATAAATTTTTGTATTGATAAAAATTAAAATATCATTGTATTTAGTAAAAATAAGGTAATTAGAATCTTTAATTTTGTAACGAGGATTAATTTGTATGTGAGTCAATTTAATAAAATGATAGAATGGATTATTAAAACTTTAAAAAAATTATATTTTTTTAATTCCGTTTGCTTTGATTTAATGGCGATTTATTTCATTCAACTAGCAGTTCTCCTTTGAGAAACTAAGCCAGTCATTTCTTAGAGCTGACTTGGCTATAAAGCATAAGACAAACCGGCTTTTCTTGCAATATATTGTGCTAGACATGAATCATTGGTATTTCCAATTATTCATTGGTGTAATTTACCATCTTGTTAGAGGTGCCTACTTTACTATGTCATGTGGTTAATGGATGTTGATTTTTGTAACAGTCACCGTTTTCCTATCGGAGGTTGGCATCGGCGGCCTTGTTTCGTCAATCTTCATTGCATTTTTCCGCAATCGCGATTTTATGGCGAGAGTAATCCCCAACGATACGACTAGTGTGTGGGGTTGGAACCATGAAAACGGCGAGCGGAAGTGGAGCGGAAATTCACGCGATGCTCATCCTTGATTCACATAATAGGGGTTTGTGGTTTAGAAGTGGTGTGTGGTGGAGTGGAAGGAACTTGTGCTTTGCCTTATGTTGAATTTGGATAGGGGGAACGAGGTTTTGGAGGTGCATGAATCATACCCTGTCGGGGATGCTTGATGAGTTGGTTATATTCACCACTCCAACTGAGCCTGTGGTCGAACGGATTCTATATCACCCTAATTTTACTCCGATGTTAATGTAAGTTTGAGAACCAACTGCATATGATAATTTCAGTGGGTTCAATGTTGTTGTTGTTGCAATCACGATTTGTTATATGCATAGTCATTTTTTGCCTTTTACATCCCTACATAGAACAACCCAATTCTCTATTTTACCATGATTGCAGTGGCGTTAATTTAGCTGCATTTAAGTTTCATATTGCTATTTGTTGAGGTATGTTGAAGTAGCCTTATTGCTTAGGTGAGAAGTGATGAAGGAACTGTGGCATTTGCTTAGGTGATTTTGAGAAGGTCGAGTGGAATTACGTTATTTTGCCAGAAGTTTGCATGCACTATACCACGTGGCGTGCGTGATATGTGGTTATTTCACACTCAAGTCCTGGGCGAACGCATGTATATCACCATCAAACTTTTATGTGTTAATGTAGTTGAGACCAATGCTATGATACAAGTGGGTTTGCAATGTGTGTTGTTGTGAAGTCACGATTATGTAATATGCATAAGTCTATTTGGCCTTTCTCCTATAGACACAATTTATTTTCACCAGTAGAATTGAGTGGCCGTTTAATTTAAAGCTGCATTTTAAGTTTCCTATTGCATATTTGTGAGAGTATGTTGGGTAGCTAAAAAAAAAAAAAAAAAAAAAAGAAAAAGAAAAATTGAATTCTGTAGGTCTTTTTAGTAAATTACAAGGTCCAAAATAAGGCAAAAACATTAGACCCACAATGTAGCCTTTTTCTATGGCTAGGAAGGTCCAAGACAATCATAAGCCCATAAATCAATCATGTCACATGATTTGAAAATCGCTAGAGGAAGGGATTGAACCTTCGACCTTGTGGTTAACAGCCACACGCTCTAACCAACTGAGCTACTCCAGCTCGCTTACTAAAATATTGATTTCTATTTTTATAAAATTTGACTTACACCTCATAAAGTCATTCACAACTAAGATAGATTGATATTCTTTTTTTTTTTTTTTTTATGTTATACAAAATGCTAATCTCAAAATATTTATTGGGCCAGAGCAGTGGAGAGCTTGTGATAGATTATACTGGAAGATGTGGTACACAGTTTTTTCTCCTATTACATGTACTCTCCAAGCTATGGATCCATTCTGTGTTCTCTTTTATATACACATTCTCAAACATGGGTCCCCATCAAGCATTAGGGGACAGATTTTCAAGTTTTTCCAGTTATATGCCATACTTGTCCAAACGATTTGAAAAAATTAAAATTTATTTTAATAACATATATTGATAGTTGGTGATTATCAATTAGGTATGCCAAATGAGTTATGTTGGTTTAAAAAAAAAAAAAAAAAAATTAGTTATTGTCTGATTAGTCTTCTCGTTTATGTGATAAGTTCTCAGTATTATTTTGGTCCATCAGGCCTTTCTATTCTTGACATTAAAAAAAAAAAAAAAAAGGAGCAAAAGATATTCTTTTAGATTTGGGCAAGAAAATCAAAGATGAAATGAAAGCATATACAGTATTGTTTTTAACTTAAGCAAATGATTTTTTGGGATTGTTTGTTTCCAACTCAAGCAAAAAAAAAAAAAAAAAAAATTTGTATTTTCCATGTGAATTACTCACAAGACATTCTTGCTAATTAAATCATGTAATGGGTTAAAAACAATATGATTCAAGATTTGAAATTATAATCAACTAGTTTTGGGCTTTTTATCAAAAGATGCCAATCAAATTTCCCTTCCATTGTGACATTTTCAATATAAGTTACACATACTGAAAATAATTATTTTTAGCAATTTTAAGGGTATATAGTTTTTATTGATTTTGTGTTTATATCAATCAGATTTATTTTAAATTGTTTCTTAAATAATTTTAAAATGTTATTTAATAAATTAAATAGGAGAACTTTCATAGGAATAATTTAATTTAGTAGTGAAATAATATTATTAACACTTTTCAAAGAGCATAATGATGGTGTGATCACATAATGTAATTGAATTTGTATAAGGTTACAACCAACCAAACTTCATGGCAGAGAAGTTTTTTTTTATCATTAGTTGTTGGGCCAACATAATGAGAGGATCCCTTGATTTCAAATTCACATCCTTTTTAAGTAACTTACAATTTTGTTTTGTCATTTTTTTTTTTAATCTCTCTCTTTTGTTTACCGAAATAAAACTTTATATTATACCCTACGTTCTATTTTATTTGCATGATTTAATAAAATACACATTAAGAATTTGGTAAACAGAAATTATTTTGCCCATTTTTACTCTAAACTCGTGAAGGTACAAATAAAAGTGTTTGATTTATGCTACGTTTATTTCTGTAAAATAATTTGCTGAAAAAATATTTTTCCAAATGACTTATTTTCTGTTGTTTAATTGTAATATTGAAAATTAGTTAAAATATAAAAATCTTTATCTCATAAGACTATAAAAAATATTAATAATAATAGAAAATTTTTACTCTGCTCTCTCTCGAGAGAGTAGAAATTATACTCTTATATTAACTATGAAAGGATCCAGATGGTGGTGCTTGGTGGCTGCCGATTGTGGCGCGAGTGAATGCGTTGTCCTGCTCGTAATGGAGACTTGTTAGTGGTGTCTATGATGATTATAAATTTAAAATTATAGTTTATTAAGGTTTTGTATACAGCACGAAAATGTGTATTTCTTTGAAATAGAGAGTTATTTTTCTTAACAAAAATGACTTAATTTTCCTCTTACATCAGAGAATATTTTCCGTGGATTATTTTCCTGATGCTCAAGTAATGGAACATTGTGGCAATCTTTTTGTTGAGAGTTATTTCGGAAACACGGCTTATGGACAATATAAAATGTTTTATAAAACAAATAAATTATTTAAATATATAAATTTAGAAACCTTATAAACATTTTGAAACATCAAAAAACGAACGATAGACAAACAAATCGTGATAAAATATAATATAAAATATATGAAACTGAAGAAATATTTACTAAACTGTGATAAAACATAATATAAAATAAATTTTAATATAAACAGTAAATTAGAAATTTTATTTGATGATCACTTATCAAATAAAGCTTCAACTTAGTTTTCAATAAATAAAAAAGCTTTTAATGACCTAAAGGCAATATTATTTTTAAAATTTTTGAATATTACTTTCAATCTACATATAAAAGAAATCTATGGGACAACTAAATATACTTAATTATAACAAATTGAATATTCTAAAGGAAGTGATACTTTTTATTAAACAACCTATTAATAAAACTCGAAAGTTTAAAATTTTCTTTGTGGGGTTTTCATCTGTATCTATTATCCGACCTAAAAGTACTAATATTTTCTGTTAAAAAATAATTAACTTTTTTTACAAATATCCAAATATATATATTTTTCAATTTAAAAACATAGTTTTTTTTTTTAATTTTTTCTGTTAAAAAATAATTAACTTTTTTTACAAATATCCAAATATATATATTTTTCAATTTAAAAACATAGTTTTTTTTTAAAAAAAAGTAAAAACATAGTTGTTCAATATCTAGTACCAGCTGGAAAATTATTATAATATTAAATAGCACATTAGCAGAATCAAAGTTGACGACATTAGGCTAAAAGTTTCAGTCCAAGATTTTGTCCTAAATTGCCCCCCTAAGAATAGTTTATTCAACACTAAAAGCACTCAGCCAATAGTCAATAAGCTTTTGGGTAAAACAATTCTGTACCAGGGCATTTCTGTAAATAAAAATGCAATAACATTTCCAGTGACACATCACTTTCCTTTTATTTGTGATCCCATGTGAGTATCCCTCGAAGAATGGGACCTGTCAAGCCATAAAAGTGAGAAATTTTGCCGACCCTTTTGCCTCTCAATTCCCTTGATGTGTGTTTTTATTTGCTAGAATAAGCTTCCCTTGTTTTTGTGTGCACTGTGCAGTTTAGCAATCTCAGATTGGTTATTTTTGCTGTTGATGTTCTTTACTAATGCATGTGATTGGGATTTTATTAGAAAACTAAATATGATACATATATAGTAGGCTAAATTATGTAATTATCCACAAGTATATGGGTTGATTTCATGTGGGGTTATTTTAGAAAAAGGGTTTACATAGTTTATAATTATGTTTCATGATTTCAGAATGTGATTTTCAGAGAAAGAGCTTTTTGGATAGGTGTTAGCAGATGGCATGAGTTTTGCGTTTCTGGGTTAGATTTTCTATTGGTAGATAAAGTTGGAATTTTTATGTATGCAAGGTATCTGATAAAAAGCAGCAATGAGTCAATTTTTATGATCTTGGTTCTAGAGCTAGAGCTTGGAATTGAGACTAGCCATTATCTCTCTCTGTAAGCTTGTTTCTCCCTTTCTTGGCTTCTTGTTTTGCAGTTCTGGAGAGTGATTTTCAAGTTATTTATGGTAACTTTGTTGGTTTGTACCTATGCTTTTTGATATTTCTATTGTTTCAGTATTTTAAGCAGCTGTGATGTGATTAGAGTGAAAAGATGAAATCTTTGAGTAGTGTAGGACTTGGTTTGAGTATAGTTTTTGGGTGCCTTTTATTAGCTCTTATAGCTGAGCTTTACTATTTGTTATGGTGGAAGAGAAGATTCACCAATAGAGAGATTGGAGATGACTATAGCAGCCCAGCAAGAGAGCTTTTTTATATGTTTTGTCTAAAAAAGCCATCTTCTTTAAGGAATTCTCAAGAACTATGTTCTTCACTTAGAATTACAGATGCTCTTGTTCATCATGAACTAGATTCTCAGCTTAATAGCAAGGATTTATTGCTTAAGCCTTTTGGTGATGATCCTTTGGAGGCAGAACTCATGAGGTTGAATAGTCTTTCCGGTCCACCAAGATTTCTCTTTACAATAATTGAAGAAACAAAGGAGGACCTGGAGTCTGAAGATGGTAATAAGTCTAGGGGTGACAACAGAAGTACAAAAGGGTCAAGAAGTAGAAGCTTAAGTGATTTGCTTATAAATATAGAAACTCCATTTTTAACTCCTCTTGCTTCTCCACCATTTTTTACACCTCCTCTTACTCCTATGGATACTAACTACAGTCAAACCAGATTCAACCATCTTTTTGAATCGGCAACAGATGCAGAGTTTAATAAGTTAAGGTCATCTCCACCTCCAAAATTCAAGTTCTTGCAAGATGCAGAGGAGAAATTATACAGAAAAAAACTAATGGAAGAAACAGAGAAACAAGTCCAAAAGAATGATGGGTTTGGTCAAGATTATACACAAAAAGCTGCTACTTCAAAGTTTTCGAAAGATGATGAAGATGGGTCTTTTATAACCATTATTGTTGATAAGAACAAAGAAAGAGAGCTTAGTCATACACCTCAACAGTACCATTCAAGCACTTCACAAGTACTACCTCTTGCATCTTCACCTTCGAGATTCACATCAGCAGCCAAGAAAAGTCCTGCCTTTCATTAGTGCTTGCGTTTCATGATCAATTAAAATGTTCTTTCTTTTGTTTTGAACTTTTAATTATCTTAGATATTAGTTATCTTAGCCTCTTAGGATTTTCTTTTTTTTATTTTAAATATTTCTTGGAGTGTTTGAGGATAGTGTTAAAAGGTTAATTATAATTAATCTTGCAAAACCCTTTCTGTAATGTTATGTGAAAACTTTTTCAAGTAGAGGGGGAGACAACATTCTCTGCAGGATAATGTTAAAAGGTGGCCAAGTGCAAGTGGTGGACTTGTGGGGTTACTTGTGTTATTCAAACTACATGTCTCCCTGAGCTGTCTTAAGTCTTATACATGTAATCATTCTGTGACTGATGGTACTACTGCTGTTTTAGTCCACACAAGCACTGTAATTCTAAAAAAAAAGAAAAACAAAAAAAAAAAAAGAAGAAAAATAGAGTGTTTTTTTTTTTTTTTTTACATGGAAACCTCTATTTGACATTGCTGACAAACTTGTTATCAAGAAAAAAAAAAAGGAACCTTGTTAATAATATATAATTATATGCCATTAAGATTTGGAGTTCATATTTTGAATCAAGTCTTAATTTCTGGTTGCTTTATGATGTTTGTGGGATTTTTTTTTTTTTATGTTTTCTTTTGACCTTTGCTCCCTAATTCTACCAAAGAATTTGTTTTTATTCCTTGCTTAGTGTGTGTGTATATATATAATTTGTTTATGAATGAAAAGTTTATTTAATTATGTTAAACTCTACAAAATTTAATTTTTTAAGAGTGAAATGAGTACTTTCATTATATTAAATACAAAATTTCAAATAAATTTTATGCAATTATTTGTACAAAATGGGTACTTATAGTAAATTTGACATCTTAATTATTAAAATTTCAAAATTTTGAATTTTTTTTTCAGTCTCTAACATTGAATCCTGACTATGCCATTGTTGAAACTGTTACTTATCATAATATTAGGGGAAAAAAAAAAAAGTTCCACCACCCATACAATCAGGCTCCAAAGCAACTTTTATTTTTGAATGCTTTATATGTTTCTTTCGTACTTTCTAGCTCTCCATGCTTATGACATAAACAAGATAAACAAATATTATGGCCATGTCCTAATCTTGTATACTTTTCTATGGATATAGTGCATATATATATAGTATATAGCCCACAAATAATAACCCTTTTGCTACAAAATTGATTTCTGACCGTTAGATCAACATATCATGGCCCTAAATAGGAGAAGAGGGGTTTGATGTTTTGACAATATTTAGCTAAAGAAGAAGATGAAAGTACTAATCCAAGAAAGTGACAAATTTGGAAAAAGAAGAAAGGGTAAGTGTCTGTCTGAGTAGTGACTTGTGAATTGTGACGGTGAGATGTTTTATTTTGGGCATTTTCGTAAAAAACAAAGAGATGAAAATTACCCGTCTCGTGGGGGAGATAGGCCGAAAGGTGTCTGTCCCTCCCCAAGCTTCAAGAATCATTACGGGCATTGCCTTTTCTTCCTGCTCTTTATGTATTAAATGCTCAAACAATCATGAGCTTTTTTATTTTCTATCTTTGCTTTTATCAAATGACTCACAATTCCCTTTAATGAATCTGAAAAATACAATAAAATCAAATGATTTTTTAATTTAAATATTAAATTAGAAATTCGCTACAAATGAAATCTATACATACTAAAAATAAGTTTTAACGACTAAATGGAACCTAAGCGTAACTAAAATTATAAATTTTAGATGAATGAACTAAAATACTTATCTGAAAGAGGTTAATAACAAGTTCTTTCAGAATTAACTATTTCTCTCTAATATAATTATAATTAAAAAATCGATGCATATCCACATAAATGAACTAAAATATTTAGAGCATAAGATTTAGAATTTTCTGAATTTTCTTATTAACATGAGATAATGTGAAATCTAAACAACATATTGTTACATAGATGTACATCACTGGCAATGTACAGCCAGTGCTAAAAATTTTACATTTCTTAGATAAATGAGATCAAGAAGAACTATTCCTCATGTAAACAAGAAGTATTGCCAGGTATGATATTTCGGTTAAGTCGGAAAAAAATGAATTAGATAGAATTACAAAGCCACGGTAAGAAGAGAATAAAATCAAGTCAGATTCCGAAGGCAGCAACATCTGTTATTCCCAATTCAACTGAGAGTGAGTTAAGGCCAGGTTCTTCCAAAAGACTGAATGCTGTGCATCCATAGAAGGAATGGTATATATCTGGCAGCTCACCTGGGAATTTACTGAAACCACCGTACTGGTGAAATAGCAATAAATGCACGCAGTTAAGAATTCAGCAGTCATATTATTAGCCGAAAAGGGAAAAAAAATTGAAGGAAAACAAAAACAGTATAACCATTCATATATCATACATTTACTTATGAGAGTGACAGTAGTTTCGATAGCATACAGCACTGTCTGATTCTGTTTTCTACTAGCTGTTTGTTAGAATTCATTCTGTTACTTTACACTCTGAACTTTTAGTAAAGGTCATATGATATCTAGTTGGTGTTTTGAATGAAAATAAGTTCCATTATAGAACTGTCAATCAATGGTGGAAAGCTTTCAACAGCTTTGTCGATCAAAATATCATACGAGTAAGGGCTAGCTCTAGCTTAAACACTATTGGTTGCGTTTGAACTTAAGACCTCCTAATGGAAATAAATAATTAATTTACTTCAGTGGATTGTCAATCCACTAACTATGGTTTATATTCACTATACTTATTTGAGAACATCTAAACGAATTTCTATTCGCAATTTATAAACATAGTTATAATGACAAGGGAAAAAGGCCGGTAAAACAAAACTATAGAAGGGGAGTGCAGTTTCTTATATCTCAAATACTTTACTTCAACTAAAAAGTGAATTTGTGTATAGAAGCTACAATCCTATATAGAGAAACAAAAATAGAAATTTGCTAAATAGTTTGACCAAAATATAAGATTCTCAAATAATCCTGCTAAATTTATCAAATTATTTATGAAGATTCCAACTACTAAACCAAGAATTGCAAAAAGCCCCGTCTCTCCAAGACGAACTAGGATAAGGGTTTGGACTCCAGCTGCACCAATGAGGAATATAAACTACACTTCATGCAGCCTAAATCTATGAAATTATAAACAAGGTTGATGGTCCTTGTTTCTTTACTAAGATTCAAAAAATTCTTGATTCAATTAAAGCATGATACTAAATGTTCAATCAGACAGTATGCTAAGCATGAATGCAGATATTGAAGAACCATATCAAGAAAATACAATTTTATGTGCTCTATGTATCTTGGCCATAAACTGTTACCGTAATGACCTATTTTTCTTAAATTTCATCCAATTTTAGATGGTCAGTTATGTAATTGAGTATCACAATTCCCTATAACAGATCTGTCTTGTTCATTGTCCATATGAACCCGATTAAATGTAGTATATAAGTTTGGTGAAAGACTTAAGCAAGCATCTCCAAAAGTGAAGGCTTCTTAGATGGCTTCTGATCATATAAACTAGACAACTTTCTCAATGTCTTCCTAGCCATATGAACCACTTTAACCCAATTTTTGGAACCATCTACATTAAATACCTTCTGTTTTCAATCTCCCTTACAAGCCTATGCCAAGAACCTCAAATTTCTGACCCCCTAAAACCCCTCGCTATGATAGGCCCCACTGGATTGAGATAAAGAAGCAAGTAAATTTGTAAAGAATGCATGACTAATGGCTCCATAAGCGAGTAAGGACCCAAGAAAGACATTTCTCAACTATAGAGAAATATTGTCATTGGTAGAAAAAGATGCAACCTGACGGACTTTCGGGAAGCTTAAATTTGCCGGCACAAGTATTTCAAGAACAACTTATTAAGTTTGGCAGAGGTAAAGGCCAGGGCTGGTCCAGATAATTTCTTCAAGCATGAACAAAGAATTCCAAGTAAGTACAAACAGAGTTGGATACTATCTATATGGTTGTCAAGTTCTTGCAAAATGTATAATAAAAATTTGCATAATCTGCTTGGTTAGGCATGTCCTTATTCTTTTAGTCAAACCCATGTCCTTTTCTGAAGGGTTATCGTCATCATCTTGCTGTCAAGAATGGAGCTGTCTAGTGGAGTTCCAAACTTCCAAAGCATCCATAAAGACTCATTCTTGTGAATATGTTTAAGGAAAAAATGAGTTATGCAGATAACTTGAAATCAACTCATATCTCAACATGCATGTGTTGAAATTTGCAAAGGAATAGACACACCTTGGACTGACAAGTTAACAAAAATCCACGTAATGCTTTCCCATCAATGAACTCGTAGCCTCCTAAAATCCTCAAAACTGCTCCAACCCTGCACGTGTATTGTCTTCATGAAGGCATAGGAAAAAAGATGCAACTTATTGTGTGACATTTCTCAGGTGGTGCACCTACCAAAACGCATAACATGTGTCACTAGGCTTGTTTGATCTACCTTGAAATCCACCATCAGCTGCTTGCCTCTGAAGCACAGAGAATAAAAAGAAAAATTATGAGATGGATATATTGAAAACCTTGAAAGACAATAAAATAATGGACATAGGATTTCACAAACATTTTGTCATTTGGCAGTTAGCTCTTAATGACCTTCATGTCTGTCCATTGTTATAAAATCTGCAACTTTGGAATTTTTCTTATAAATTATTTCAGAAACCAGATGAAGAAAATAAACCTTCAAGCACCATTCCAACAATAGTGGAATGTCTATGATGGAAGCTGCTCCACTTTTAGACAGAAGATCATCCTCAATAAAACCCATTAATTGAAGTGCGGCAACTGCACAGTAAGTTCCACCACCTGTCCGCTAAGATGAATATTGTTGGTAAATAAAATTGGAAGCATCAAAATCATAAAATTATGAAATGTAAAAAACGAAATCGGTTTGTATGAACTTTTCACCAATCATACATAAGACATGCTAACAATAAAAAGAAAAAAAAAAAAGATGACTGCTGAAATAGAACTGGGTATAGCAGCAATTAGTAATTAGATATTAGAAGAATGATTAAAGGCAGAAGGCAAAGAGGAAGGAAGGAAATGTCACTTCAGACCAAGTTTCATGTGAAAATTTCCTCAATCTACCAGTTTTCAAAAAAGTTGGAAATTTCCAATTATGACCCCCCTTGATGCCCAAATTATAGAGAAGGAATCTTTTTATGACTCACCATGAGATTCTGAACCAGGCACCATCCCAAAGCCGCCATCATATGACTGAAAGACAGTGTCACTCGTAATATAAGTAAATATGCGATATGCTCAGGTAAAGAGCGAAGAAAGAAAGAAAGAAAGAAAGAAAGAAAGAAGGCAATCTATCATAAGAATCAAGCATTAAATTTCAAATATATTACTCTGGAGGCTAAAGAGAAGATGGAAAAAATAAAAAAACATACTTGGCATTTTAAGATGTAGTCCTTGGCTTTCTCCTTGTCCATGCCACTCCAATCTTCCAACATAGAACAGATGGCCACTGAAACATCAAATAGCCATGTGGATGCTATATCATTTCAAATAGCTTCATCAACATGCACAACATTTCCTATTCTTACCAGCACAATATATGAATCTAAGATCTGTCTCTGCCCCAATATGGATAGGAAGAAAACTGAAAACAAATGAAATAGAATAAAACGTTAAGACAATAATGTACTTTCATGCTAGATAACAACTCTATCCCTGCCTTGGATCTAGGCCAATTTTGGGTCTGCTGGTTCCATTGCAGTTCCGTCAAAGTCCGGTTAGGTGAACAGTTTAAGCCGTTTTCTTTTTTACTCGAACTGGCCAGAACTGCCAGTTAATCTGAAGCATTGGGTTGGGAGGAACTCCTGGGTCAGTTCCGACCCAAACAAGACCAGTTGCCAGGCTTACTGGGAGGATGGGGCGTTTATTGGCAATAAATAAAGCTAAGAAAGGTCTAATGGGTAGTATGAGCTAAATTGAAAAGTTAAGCAAATTCTTGGCAGCGTGTAATTTCTATTCCAGTATGGATGTTGTAATATTGAAAGTATTAAAAGGTAAGCTATTAAGAAAGAATTGGGATCCAAGAACAAGATCCATAAAGCATACCTGCCATCTGGTTGCTGCAGGTTTCTCATTGACGTCAATATTGATTTGGAGTCAACATTTGACAACTCATAACCAACAATCTTTAGTATAGCTAAGGCACAATAAGAGCTTGCCAAATGACTAAGATTGTTAATCAGAACCTACAGGTAAATCAATGGAAAAAGATAAAGGTTATGTCCAGTGGAAATAGTAAATAGGCACGCAACAGTGGCTTTATTGCAAAGTTGATATGAACTTCTCAATACAAGCTGCCAATAACAAAGCAAAAAATTATGGAATAGCACAACTCTATAATACCCCATCAGAGCTTAAAGGAAATTGAGAGGATCTAGAACCTTGGAACCCATAGAATTGTCCTGCAACGAACAAATAGCTCACCGATTATATTTTTTCTTTCAATAGCAAAGATAGTTTATACTGGTAGAGGCAGATCTACTACAGGTCAGATAACCCGATATAATAACTAAATCTTACAAAATCATATAAATTCTCAGTAATCAAATCCATACCATTGTTCAGATCATTTGCATCTCCAGGGTGAGCTTGAAAAGACAAAACCCAACTAGCAACTGCATCTTTGTCTACCTAAAGTACAAAAATATTAAACCATTTGTTGTCCAAAATGTTAAAATTTAAATGGAAGTTTCAAACTTTAGGTAGACCGTAGACTTGAGTGATACTGGATCAGGACGAAGGTATCAAACTTTCCAACCCTTATTCCATGTTTACTCGTAAGTCCAAGAAAAACTAAATCCTTTTACATCGCAACTAAATTAATTTTCTAAGGTAACTAACATCTAATGCCCATAACGTATACTTGCGAGATATTTCAAATACAAATCCAAAAAGAAAAAAAGAATTTCCATATCAACTTGTGCTGTTAACAATATAAAATCCCAATTCCCATGAAATCAACATATCCAAATTTTCTTCTCCTATCCTATTTCTCAGGAAGCAAACTGAATCTCAAGAAAAGAGCAAAAATTAAAGTTTTACTCGATCCAGAGCACCGAGGATGTCGAGGCCGGAAATGGCGAAGTAGGCGAGAGTGAGGCGGTTGATCTCCTGGGATTGATAGTAGTATGGTATCATCTGATACATCATCTCTAAATACGCCACGTGGCGATCCCTCTCGAACGATAATGACAGTGGTGGCGATGGTGATGGTTCTTCTCCGTCTGAGGATGATTGATCCCACTGTAGCGATGGTAATGGTGCTTCCATGGCCAAACACTATAATTTAGAGTAAGAGAGAGTGAGACGTTTTGAATGCGAGAGTGGGTTAGGTGCTTCTGATTCTCAACTTCGTTGGAGCGTTTGGTTCAAACGTTTTATGCGATGGTGTTCACTGTGGAAAAACTCTCTAGTCTTTTCTGTCTTTATTGTTTTCAATTTTTCATTTTTATGATGAGAAATAAATTATATTCTATTCTATTCTATAAAATCACCACTTTTTTCATAGAAAAAAAAAGGAAAAAACTCCTCTTAAAAAATGCAATTTTTTTATGAAAAAAATTGAAAAGAAAATAGAAATGGGAGTGAATACTCATCTCTGAAAAAAGGAAAATTTAAAGATTGGTATATAGAAAATTGAATTGGAAAGAAACCAAATTTAAACATGTTTTTACAAACAGTTAAACAACAATTAGTTTTACCTTATTAAGAATTAAAATAAAACACAACTATAGCTAGATAGATAGGGCCAGATGCCAGAAGCCACGAAATCAAAAGCTGCGCTTGCTGCTTATCATTGCTTCAGCAGGTTACAAAACCTATCATATTGGAAAACCCTGTAACATTTGTGTTTATGCATGTGGCCAAGTGCACCAGTAAAGTGGTAAAACCATTAACTTTAAAATATGAAGTAAAACTCTATTTTAAGATCCAATTCTCAGTTATCAGAGATTCAACAAATATGTCTGTCAACAGAATCTTTAGAATATATTAACCTTTCTGATCGCAAATGTATTACTAAGATGCCACTAATGTAGCATCAGAAAAATTTGTTGCACTAATGGCAGAACAAAAATTTGGAAAGCAAGATAAACTGATCAGATAGTTCACTAATCTACTAGCTAACTTATCGCTCTAAAACAACAAACTCATACACAGATGAGCTACAATAAAATTTCAGCATTAAACATCATGCAGCCAGCTTAGTCGACTTCCTCAATCTTAGGACCAGCACCGCTGCCACCTGCTGGAGGAACATCATCATCCATGCTGCCACCCACGTCGGCACCAGCACCTTGGTACATCTTGGCGATGATGGGATTGCAGATGCTCTCAAGTTCCTTCATCTTGTCCTCAAACTCATCAGCCTCTGCAAGCTGGTTACCATCTAGCCATTGAATGGCCTGATCAATAGCATCCTCAATCTTCTTCTTGTCATCTGTGGCCAACTTGGAACTGATCTTCTCATCCTTGATAGTGTTCCTCATATTGTAGGCATAGTTCTCCAAGGCGTTCTTTGCCTCAACCTTCTTCTTGTGTTCCTCATCTTCTGACTTGTACTTCTCAGCCTCCTGGACCATCTTCTCAATTTCTTCCTTGGACAACCTACCCTTATCATTAGTAATTGTAATCTTGTTCTTTTGTCCAGTGGTCTTATCCTCAGCCGACACATTCAGGATACCATTGGCATCAATATCAAAGCAAACAGTAATCTGAGGAACACCTCTTGGTGCTGGTGGAATGCCAGAGAGCTCGAATTTGCCAAGCAAATTGTTATCTCTTGTTCTGGTTCTCTCACCCTCATAAACCTGGATCAAAACACCAGGTTGATTGTCGGAGTAGGTGGAGAAAACTTGCTCTTTCTTTGTTGGGATTGTTGTGTTTCTTGGGATCAAAACTGTCATGACACCACCAGCAGTTTCCAAACCAAGGGACAGAGGGGTAACATCCAAGAGCAACAGATCCTGCACCTTCTCATTGCCTTCACCGCTCAAGATGGCGGCCTGAACTGCAGCACCATAGGCAACAGCCTCATCAGGGTTAATGCTCTTGCAAAGCTCTTTTCCATTGAAGAAGTCCTGCAACAACTGTTGCACCTTAGGAATTCTTGTAGAACCACCAACAAGAACAACATCATGTACAGTGCTCTTGTCCATCTTAGCATCCCTCAAACACTTCTCTACAGGCTCCATACACTTCCTGAAAAGATCCATGTTAAGCTCCTCAAATCTGGCACGGGTGATGGTCGTGTAAAAATCAATACCCTCATACAAAGAATCAATCTCAATAGTTGTTTGAGCAGTAGATGAAAGAGTTCTCTTTGCCCTTTCACAAGCAGTCCTCAACCTCCTAAGAGCTCTTGGGTTTCCACTAATGTCTTTCTTATTCTTCCTCTTAAATTCTTGAACGAAGTGGTTCACCATTCTGTTGTCGAAGTCCTCACCTCCAAGGTGGGTGTCTCCAGCGGTGGCCTTGACCTCAAAGATACCCTCTTCAATTGTGAGCAATGAGACGTCGAACGTACCACCACCCAAGTCAAAAATCAACACATTCTTCTCACCAACACTGGTCGCCTTCTTATCAAGACCATAAGCAATGGCAGCAGCTGTTGGCTCATTGATGATACGCATGACATTGAGACCAGCAATTACACCAGCATCCTTCGTAGCCTGCCTCTGAGAGTCATTGAAATAGGCAGGGACAGTGACCACTGCATTCTTCACTGTAGTTCCAAGGTATGCCTCAGCAATCTCACGCATTTTAATGAGAACCATGGAAGAGATTTCCTCAGCAGCAAACTGCTTGTCCTCACCCTTATAGCTGACAACAATCATGGGCTTATCACCAGGTCCTGGAATAACCTTGAATGGCCAGAGCTTGATGTCACTCTGGACTGAAGCATCGGAGAATCTCCTACCAATCAACCGCTTTGCATCTGTGAAATGAGAATACTAGTTAGTAAATGCAGCACAACAAAAAGACTAAACAATGAATGTAAATGAACAATAACACATATTTAAGCCTAACAGAGAACATTCATAAAGCAGAAGATCAAACGTCAGTGATACTAGCATTATCAATGAACTATTATGGCATTTTAATTAAAAAAACAAATTTGACCATGTAAGTGCTAAACAAACTAAAGCAACTTGTAACCTGTTTGATGAAACCTAAACCTAGATAAAGAGAAGCAGTTTAACGCATATTAGAGTGAAAAAAAGCCTTATTTACTACAAGAATTCTTTTCAACAGGACTCACAATTAAATCGTCATTAAGAAACAATATAAAAATGGCCCACTAATAAATAACACAAAAATCATTCCAAACAATAATGCCCAAATGACTTGAGATAAAGCAAAACCCACTAAAATAAAATCCATTCTTCTAATAAAAGACCAATTTACTACAAATATGAAAACAATACATCATCTACAAGATGCCATATCTATCCATTGGCATTCAAACCCTAATATTTAACCAGAACTAACAGATCAAAATCAAAAATCAAAAGCAACATCAGATCTGGACCTCTTTTTAAAAGTCAAAAGAAATACTAACCAAAGACGGTGTTGATAGGGTTCATGGCGACCTGGTTCTTAGCAGCATCACCAATTAAACGCTCTGTATCTGTAAATGCAACGTAAGACGGCGTCGTCCTGTTTCCTTGATCATTGGCAATGATCTCAACTCGATCATGTTGCCAAACACCAACACAGGAATAGGTAGTACCCAAATCGATTCCGATAGCCGGTCCTTCACCTTTGCCGGCCATTATGTCAGATCACAAAAACAACGTAGGTCTACAACAGCTAACGAGCGGCAGAGAGAGGAAAAGAGAAGTAGAAAAACAAACGATGTAGGGTTTTCTTGTTGGGCTATGCTTCTTAAGCGTGTGGCTTTGGGTTGCAGAGAGGGGAATATATAGGTTTTTTTCGATGTTTTTTATGGTTCTAGAATGTTCTTTAGGTGAGGTGGGTGAATCTTGATCGTTAATCATGAGAATTTAACCGTTACGATTGGTTCATGCTTTTTTAAATTGAAGTTCCCTTGCGTGATGCGTTTTTTGAATTTTGACCAACTCGAATTTGATTTGAAGTGTGAAGGCCAAATCGGAACTCGCATTATAGTCATGAGTCAATATGGCCGGCAGAAAACGACATCCCACCAACAAAACCAATTGCCAAATAAAGGGGAAAATTTCATAAAAATAAAAAATAATTAATGAATATACTTTAATTCATGATAATTTAATATTGGTAAATGAATTCATTTCCTGTAAAGTGAAAACTTAAGTTTGACAGGAGATTACACCTCTTGATTATAAAAAAAAAATTCATGATTTAAATTTTGAATGCACCTTTTTCTCACATTATTTGATTTTATAGTTTTGATAATATTATAGAATAAAAAATTTCAACAGTTTTCTTAAAAAATTTAAGTGATTTTTCACTTTAAGATATTTAATCGCATTTATTTTGTTCATGGTTTTGGGAACCAATTCGGCCCGATAAAAATATTGGGCTCGGACAATGTTTTTGAGCCTTAACCGCAATTCAAGTTAGGTATGCAATATTCTTAACCTGGCCCGAGGTTGCAATATTGAATAAAAGTCCATGGGTAGGTATACATCGTAGTATAAACTATTACCACCTTTTTTTTTTTTTTTTTTTTTGTAGTATAAAACTATTACCACCTTTTTTTTTTTTTTTTTATCAAAAGGAGGGGCTACAAGCCCAAAAAACTAACAAAGAACAACTCTGGGCCAAACCAAACCCCTACAGCATCAGCATGCAGAAAGGACGCAAACCACAGGAGGAGGATCTCGTAAACACATGCAAGACCCTCGACGTCTTTCAGAAGCTTTCATTTGGAAAGGATATTCTGCCACGCCATTGGCCTCGCAAAAAACCATGCTTGACAGAGTATTTCCCAATCCCTTACTGATGAAGATTTCTTACACGCTGTCACATGATTGCCATTATTTACCTGACACAGGGTTCAGGCCGCCGCAAAAAAAGTGCAGAACCCGAGAATTAAACTTGAAAGAACCACAGGCCTATACCAGCGTTCAAAGCAATCAACAGAACCCCTGAAAACCCCCCCACCCCCCCCCCCCCCCCCCCACCCCCTCCCCCCCCCCCCCCCCCCCGCATAATTCCGCCTTTCAAGAGCATACACTGCCCATTATTCATCATAAAATCAACCAACCAATGCCCGGATCCATCTCTCAACCAACACCACCACAATCCCGCCACCTCTTGAGATTCCCCTTTGAGCAACCCATCCGGGTATTAAGAGAACCAATCAAAGGGAGGAATGACTCCAAACTAATTAAATTGGTTCCGATTAAAGTCTTGCCATTACCACAACCCAATATTCCTATTGATTCAGGCATAGAGATTTTCCAGTAGCACTTGCGAGATAAGAAACTTGGAGAAGAAAGAGGAGAAGTGGCAGCATACCAGGCTGGAACACTCTCAAGTTTCTCATTTTTCACAAGCCACTAAAACAGTAGTAGCAAACAAGTGTTCCCAGCCACATTCCATCATCATTCAACACTATTTAGAAAAACAAGATTAATTCGAAAAAACCAGTCAGGCGAAACTGAAGCAGAAAAGAAGTTCGGACAGAATGAAATAGCATCAAGTTGAGCCATATCCCTTGAGGCCAGCGGACGCTCAATAAGAACCATGTAACTATCCTCCAACAAAGTGAGCAATTCAAGCAGGTCCCCACGACGACATGAATCTCCTCAAAAGCCTAATTAGCATTGCACATAAGGCTATTAAATGAGAGGCCAGGTCCAGAGAAAAAACGAAATCCGCTGTGGCACCTTCACTCTCCAAAATAAGCTTCCAAAGATTCGGATCCCCTATACTCCTTTTACTACCCAAAAAGGATAAGAATTACCGCCGTCTGACAGAATAAGCCCCTGCTAACCGTGTGTTTCCAGCCAATTCCATCAACCGCAGTTAAGTTATCAGAGAGAAAAAAAGGCCCTAACAAATCCAGAATGTTGTAAGGAAGCTTACTAGGCCAACACTCCCATTTCCTAACCACTCTCATCCCCAGTCAACTGCGAACACTTCTAGTCATTTCCTCGACCGAAATAACATGAAGCAAGAAATTTTCTAAGAGGGGAAAACTTCCATTCAACCAAGGCTCAGTCCAAAACAAAAGTAGAGCAACCATAATAAAACAATTTTTGGATGCCCCCCTCTTTTATTACATCCATTTACCATTACAGAGCCCTTTCCAAATATGCGAGGATTACTGCTTAGGATGGCACTCCATTAGGAACAAACTCCCTTCATATACTTTCTGGATGAGGACAATGACTCCACAAAGCTTGGGGGATGATGAATGGAGACGCCAGCTCAGTTGTTCCCCAACAAAGCCCGATTCATAACCCGTAAATCCCTTGATACCCAATCCACCAATACTACAAGGCTCATTGATCTCTATCCAGGCCAACAAGATGGACGCTTGAATCAGTAAGCCGTACCAGACAAAGAAAGTTACGGCAAATCCGCTCCATCTCCTCACAAACCGAAGCAGGCAATTAACGCGTCTGGCATTACAATAATATTGGAAGAGTACTCAAGAATAGACGTTAATCAAAATTTACCCGTTCCAGCTATGAAAGAGTTTTCCCCCGCCATCCACAAAGCCTTCTGTCTCATCGCGATCCATTAAAGGAATTGATAGACCTTCTTGCTGAATCTGTTTTGAAATAGAAGGAACTCCAAGATAGATTCCGAGCTCCTTCGTGAGGCGGAATACCAGATTATGTCCCATAAGCTCTGCACTAATGACTCAGCCACATTTAGAAGAAAAATAAAATTCAGGATTTTGAATATTTAACCTTTTGGCCAGACGCATTCAGAAAATCTCGGAAGAATACTCAAAATTAAATTCCACATTGGAAAAACAGGACTAAAGATCATGGTGCCTTTATATTCCACCCTCCTGATTCTTCCTACACCAATTTAAATTTTTGAGACTAAAGGCTTAGATAAGATCCACGTCAATTGCAACATCCTTACAAAAGCGTCCGCGAGTGACCAAGCTATGTTTTATGTTTCCACCCTGAATAGGTCTTCCCCAATCGTTTCCCACCCTCATCAAAAAACATTATCATAGACTCCAATTGGGCAAACACGGAAAACCTAACCCAAACTGTCAGTCTGTCAATTGCATGGCTAAGAAAGGGGTCAAACTTCAAGCATGCCATTGACGAACCGCTAAATAATGGTTAGCAATCATCAAAGGGCCCCTAAAAAAGGGGAATGTTCATAGTCATTCGCCGACATTGAGCTTTTTAAACAAACTAAGAATCCGTTCCCCCAACGCCATTAACTTCCAATTGGGAGCATTACCTGGTCTCCATATCTCTTTCAACCTTCGAACCAGATAACTATACCCCACATTGCACCCTATTATCTTAATAATGAGAGCTTGCTGCCACGGACGCTTCAATCTATTGTTTTTCAGCACGGGATACGTGGATGTGGGGGCAAGCCCTCTTCATCATCATCCTCATCACTACTGAGATCACAGTCTGTCTCCCTCATCTCAATCAGAATGATGGTGGACGTTTCGACCGTTAGAATTTTCAATAACTCTGTCCCGAAGCGTAAACTCCCTGGCCAAACCGGGTTTGTTTCGGGAACGAAATCCAACATCAGCCCCTGCATTGCCTTCCAATCTCCATCAGTTCCACAACATCCAACTCAAGGGACCCCCCTTGCCGAACTTTCTTAACGATTTGGTTGTAGCTTGATCATCCTCTTTGCAATTAATTTTGTTACAACTAAACGATTACACCTTTTATCTATCTTAATATTTTATTTTAATTGCTATGATATATGTTAATTTATTTAATTATTTATTATGTATATTATTTAACTACCATTCAAAAAAATATTAATTTAACCATGAAAACTATCCACTTCTCATCAATTCACCTAGTTATACCCTTGATTTCTCCCTCTTACTTTTAGATTCCTATCATCCAAACATGCGGAAATAGTTGGTCTCGCAATATATTTATAAAATTAATATTTATTATCAGTAGGCAGGCTCCGATTCAAAATTAAGAATTGAATCGAGGTTTAAAAGAGAAATTAAATTTTTTCAGAATTAAAATTCGAATCCAGTTCGAAGTATTTAAAGTTGGACTAACTCAATTTCCAATTGTTTGATTGATTTTGTTTACTCTGTTTTTGCGCTAAAAAATAGTTCGTTTTAATATAAGTGATTGGATTTTATAAAATCAATCGAACCACCTTTGAAATTTTGGTTTGAACTAAAATAAATTGAAAATTGGAAATTATTTTGAGTAATTCGGTCAATCATTTTTACTCATTTCTAATTCGTCATAATACATTTTGGTTAATAACATAAAAAAACGGACAAACTAACTCTCTTTGCTGTCTCCTTAGTGAAAATCGCAATTGACAATCCGTAGAAAATTGATTTAACTAATCAACTGATAGAGTCAAAATTTATAAAAATTTAATAGAATGAAAATGGGGAGTATGAAATAAATTTTTGATATAAGGGCGATGGTGCTAAGTAATTTGTAGCTATTTTAATTAGGGTTGTTCTACAGGGAAGAAAAATTATCAATTCTTCATACATCCATATGCTTTAGGATTATGACACACTACACTAAAAAAATAAGTAATGGTATTAATATTTCAAATAAATTAAACATCATTTTATAATAAATTTTAAATATAAAAATAAAAAATACTTAATTTTTATTTCAATAGTTTAAATTCTTAAAATTATTATCCTATTGAAAAATATAATTAATTAAATGTGTATGTTTTTCATATAGGTCATACCATGCATGACTCTTGCTATTGCAACTTATGAAATACTTTTTTCGCATGATACTTAAGGA